ACAAAGAAAATTTTTATTATATTAAAATTTTTTTAATAAATACTCCAATACACTGGCAGTATTTAAAAAAATCTTCTCACCTAGAGATCTCATAGGTATCACTACTCGGAGTTCTTTTGAATCTCATTGTCGGATAAAAATTTTCTTTTCTTATATATTTTTTATTAATTTTGTATTATTAGGAAGTTTATTTTAAAAAAACAACAAAAATCACAAATTTTTACTATATATTTCATTATTTATTTTTATTAATCATTATTATAAAACATCAAAAATTTATTCTAGCAAATTTAAACATTTTAATATGCATAAATATTAATAATAAAATTTAAAATAACAAAAATAATATTTAAAAAAAAATTACTTGAACCAGATCGATCAATGGTCCAATCAACATCGGTCCGAGTAGTTTAACGGTTTGGGTCAGTTTAGCGGTTCGGGGTCGGTCCAGCTCGGTCTGGATCAGCTCAGCTAGATCGATTTGGGTTTAGGCAGAGGTGGATCGTGGGTCGAGTGCACAGATCCTGGGTCAGTTCAAGGTTAACGCGTGGTCAAAACGACGTCGTTTTAGGCCTTTAATGAAACAGCGTCATTTTTGCTTTCAGCTTTTTATAAAAGCCAAAAATTTTTTTCTCTCATTTTTTCTTCTCCCTCTCTCTCTAAACCTCTCCCTCTCAGAGAGCTTCTTTCTCTAGATTGGTTGGGCGATCACTAGCCGTCGTGTCAACCGTCGATTGTCAATCGTCAGCGCCATCGTCGATTGCTGAAACAATCCCAAAAATTTCTAAAAAATTCCCTTTTGCCCCTTAAGCATAGATCTGAGCTTGGTTTTACCTGAAAATGTCTTAAACGGCCTAGATCGACTTTCAAAGCTTCAACCAAACCCTCTCTCTTTTTTTTTATTTTGACTTTTTTTTACTGACTTTGATTTTTTTTGCAGGTGTTTTTAGCGCTAGGTTCCTCATTCCAGGGGATTGTGTTTCTGATTTTTTCCTTTGGAAGAATTTTTTTTTTTGCAGGGTATTTGGGGTCTCTTTTGATGGTGTTTTTGTAGCTTTATTTATAGAGCAAAAAGAAGATCAAAATCTCAAAAAATTTGAGATTTTGATTACCTACGATTAGGGTGGCCACCCACTGTCAGAACAACTGCTGGTGGCTATCGGGTTGCTGGCAAGTTGCAAACGACTGTCACAGTCGCTGCTAGAAAAAGAAAGAAAAAGCAAAAGAAAAGAGAAAATAAAAGAAAATAAATAAATAAATAAATAAATAAAAATAATAAAATGGTGTCTACAATGCTTATCTGCATAAATAAAAAAAATGAAAGAATACCTCTTTGAACTTTCTACACCTATAAAATTTTCTTCTTGGATTCTTCAATGTTGTCGACCTGCGAATTTGAGCCATTATTCCACAATAACAACTTATTGAAGTCAAATGATTTCTTGTTCTTGAGTTACAACTTGATTATGACTGCCTAGAATGTCCACTTCTCTTCGATGAATCTTCACCGAAACCTCCATATCTTCTTTCACTCATCTTGCTTTCTTCGTTTGCCATTGATTTCATGAAGGTTGTAGCTTTGATTTCACACGTTTTCTATCAGACCCTTCACAAGCTTTGATTTTGCTTCAATTTCTTTCGAGTTCTTTGAATTTGGGGTTTAGGGTTTTGGTGATTTTTTTAGGGTTTAAGGGAATTTTTTTTACTGACTTTAAACAATCTTTGAATTGTTTGATGTTAATTTTTTTTATTAATTTTTTTTTTTAGGTTTTCTGACCATATAAGCCATATAAGCATGCTTACATGTCATTTTGTGTCCATATGGCGCATTGTTATTGGCTAAAATATCCACATTAGCATCAAGACTAATTGAGTTAACCTTTAGACCAAATTGATACACAATTTTATAGTTCTGGTACTTATTTAGTAGCTTTTTTAGTTTAGGTACCAAATCCAACAAATCATTATAGTTTAGGGGCTATTTAAGACATTATTCCTTTTAAAAAAGAAAAACCATTAAGTTTTGTTTTTGATTTATGATCATATGTTTAATTAGATAGCCATTCTGATGCTATCAAAAGGATTGTTATAGTAATTGAAATCAATTGCAGAATAATATATGTATAGACAAAGTACATTTAAATTAATGTGATAGATTCATAGAATATGTTTTATATGTATTAGCATTAAACAACAAAAAGAATATCATGAATTCTGAATCTCCATATTAAACAAAAAGAACATCACCACTTATTTGTGTAAGACTATATTTCGACCTGTGTGCTTTTTAAGAGGCCAAAGTATAGAAAGGTTATATATTACTAAAAATGAAACAATGGAAATAACTATGAAATTTAAATTGATAAGATAATCAAAATTGTTACCATTTTCAATGTTAAGCTATTAAGCTGTAACTTTTTAATACTTAAAATTATTAGAATTTAAATCCTATCAAAATGCCACAAGTTGTTGGATATTAATTGGCAACTTCCTTTCAAGTTGGTGGTTACTTCTCCATTATTCCTTGATCTTTGCAGATTAATTTAATTTCTTTTCATATTAATTTCCTAACAATTGTGTTTGTAAATTCATGAGTAGCTTCCTTGTTTTTTTTCCCTTTGGGATAATAGAAAATAATAAAGGTAACCAATTTCCTTTTTATTGCATGAAATTACCTTTCTCCCATGTTGTCAAAGTAGCTGTAATTCTTGCTTTACCGTTAAGTTGTGGTCATAAGCCTCATGAGTGCAAAGGCTTTCTAATGTTAGGAAGTTGATGGTAGGTCGAATGGGTCAAGACCATTGGCCTCCACTGCCATCACACCTATCAGTTGTGATCCGTCCACATACATCCTCTCATCTAAAGATGTAAATGATATATTAGTATTTGTAAATTACTTAAATTTGATTAAAATAAAACTCAAATTCGATTCGATTATTATCAAATCGAGTTTGAGTAGCTTGACTTATTGATCGAACTGAATTCGAGTATTTTTATACCCGACTCGAACACAATAATAAAACTTTTGTTGAATAAAAGAATCAAACTTATTTTTATATTTTAATCGAGTGAATTTGAATAATTCGATTTTTATTTCAAGTCGAGTTTGAATTAAAAAAAAAAACTCAATTGAATTCAAGTCAAATTTTGAACATCAAATTTAAAGTCAAGCTTGAGTTTGAGTTTAATGTTATATCGGTTTGAACTCAATCAATTACACACTTACCCTTACCTTCTAGTCGGCATTGTTAACAAAGCTTCACTATATCTGACATTCAAATTCAAATAAATTAAAATTTGAATTGTTTTGAATTTAAATTATCTCATGATTATGTTATTTTAGATTTCATATTTTCAGGTTGGAGCTAGTTTCATATTATCATTTTAAATTATATGAGAGATATAATTATTTTCGTTTAAACAAGCTCTATTCATGGTTTAACCCAAATTATTATTAAATTAATAAAAAAATTTTATTTAATTTTAATTATAAAATAAATTTTAAAATACTAATATTTTAATAATATTTTAATTTTAAAAATTTTAAACCTCTAAAACCCGACATTAAACCTTATATAAGATTTTTCAAAAGTCAACCAAACCTAATTTGATCCATGATCACTTTTACATTAACTTCAAATTCAATCATTTAAATTGGATTATTTGAAATTAGAATTTTCTCATACTTGGGTTGTTTCGTACTCGAATTTCTTGATGTTAATTTGCGGGTTTGACTTATTACGAAGAATTTGATTTGGATGGGTTTGGCTTTCGTCTCTTTTTATTTTTATTTTTTTTTATCTTTTTATAGAAGTTTGTGATTTGAATTTCAAGAAAAGAGGTCAGAGTTTTGAAACCTAAAAAATCTTTACGATCTGGCTCCTGCTATGTAACAAAAAAAAAATTTAACAGATTAATTAATTTATAAAAAATATTGTTGTTATATTTCAAAAGATGAATATGAAAAACTAAATTTTAATTTGATTTGTTTTATAAATTATGAGAATGAAATTCACACGCACTCACAGATTGCATATACACAAATTAACTAAGATTCAATACACTTATCATTTGAAAGGATATAAGATGAGGAATTTCAAATTTTCGAATGGTTATAGGTATTTCAAGTACACCACTAAACAGTCAATTGATTTTTATATAGGAAATAGTTCTTTCTTAATTTTCTTTATTGTGTCTAAAATATTTTATAAGACTATTAGTATCAAGATAATCATAATGTTCATTACTAATTATATGTAATTATGTATACATTTGAAGATCTCGATTAACTTAACTCATAAACTAATTGTTTGATAATTGTACTAAAGCTATAAGATTCAATGCTGCTTTCCATTAGGGATGACTGAAACATTGTAAAATAATGTAAAAATGATTTAAGTAAAGAAAAAAGTACCGGAAAGTTCAATTCTTTCATACAATTTGTCAATTATGAGTTTTGAATATGGGGTGAATGGAGGTTTATAAATTATAGGCATTTATTAAAGGTTGTTAAATTATTTTTTAAGAAGTAATTTTCATAAAATTAAAATAAAAATACAATTCATTAATTATAAAATATTTTTTTATAAATATCATTTTAAATGGTGTCTTAGTTTACATTTTCCAACTCTAATTCTCTATTTTACATGTCAAAGAGCATAATCTAATAATCGATTTTACTTTAAGAAAAAATACACGGACGATTTCATAAAAAAACAAAAAATTAGTTACATTTGACCGTTAATTCAATTATAATTTTAAATATAAAAAAGAAAAAAAATTGAAAGATAGGCTGAAGCCCAGGCTATGCTGGGTAGCATGTTAGTAGTTTCAATCAACCAATTTCTAGTGGGCTTTTAATAAGAGTTGACAACCTAAATCGTCGGCTTTGGTGCCTTTTTGGTTGGGCTCATTTCTATTTGTTCAATGTACCGTCACTGATCAAGGTATAGATTCCGAGAATGACTGCTAGACCACAGTCACTAGAACAGTTGCTAGAACTAAAACATTAACACACTCGAAAACTCATTGCTTGCTCGAAACAAAAACCAATCCCATATTTCTACCTTTAAACTTCATCTAGCAGCATCTTCTTTAAAACCCTATCAGTTCTCTCTCTGTGAAACAACCTCCAAAACTATTCAAAAACTAAACCATTTCTCGCCCATTAACCCCAGCTACTACAAATAAAAATACTAAAAAAAGAGATTAAAAATAACACCTTTATTTGAATCTCTGTGTTGTTGAATAGGATGGCAGAAGCAGAGGTAGGATCTGGTGAAGGAGCGTCTGAAGATATGTCATTGAAGGATAAAGGGAATGAATTTTTCAAGGCTGGGAACTACCTCAAAGCTGCTGCTCTTTACACCCAGGCCATTAAGCTAGACCCTTCAAATCCTGCTCTTTATAGGTAAATTTTAATGACTTCTGGTTTGATTACTTGAGGTTTTCAGAGTGTTATCAAAACGCAATCTTGGGTTGATTGTAAAACTGCTCACTTATTATTTGAGAGTCTTCTCAAATGCAATATGGGATTGATGTTAAAAGCTTCTAACTTTTAGCTAAATTTGGTTTTCTTCTAGTTGCTGGCTTTACATTGTGTTCTACACTTGTTGCTTGTGCATTTCCTATTCACTGTGATACAGGGCAACAGTATGCTTGGACTTTTATTCTTTTTGTGTATAGGTGGTTGTTTTTTGAAATTTTGTTTAATTGTTTGCTTGATCCCAGGATGGAAATATTTGATAATCTTTTAAACGCACTCAAATACCTGAATGGTTTATCTTCAATAAGAACTATCATATAAATGAAAGTTGTCCCTTCTAAAACAAACATGTTGGCTGATTTTAGCTATTTAATGTAATCACTAACCCAAGATCGTTGTGTGATAATTAGAACACCATAAATAAATGAGGAGAATCCACATACCTGTTTGGGTCGTCATGATGAATAAGTGGAAGCAAAACGATCCTTGGAGTGACTAGGTCTTACTCTTTGCTCTTCTCTCACTGGTGGCAATCAATTGGTAGTAACCATAACTCGTAAAAGTGAAGAGGGGACCTTCGTCTAATTAATTAAACAACCCTAGAAGCCTCCCCATCAAAGGCTTACTAGGCCAAATGCTTATGCAAAACCACACTAACCCAATAAAATGTGCAAAGCCCATACATAAGTGATCACATTAAATTATTTGAGCTCTCATGCTTGTCTCGTATTAGGACAAAACTCATCAGCCGGTTTTATTAAATTATTAAAATCACCAATTAATAGTAGCCACTTACGGAAAATTCTAACATTTAATTCTATGCCTTTATTGATGAATGTGGGTTCATTTACTATAATCATTTTTTTCCTTTTGAATTATTGTTTCTCTACAACTGCTGTTTGTGTACCTTTGTATTCTTCCTGATTTCTTTTTTGCTGCATAGTGTCAATGTACTTCTCTTTTCTTGAATCAGCAATCGAGCAGCAGCATTTCTACATTTGGTTAAACTTAACAAAGCTCTTATTGATGCTGAGACAACAATCACATTGAATCCTCAATGGGAAAAGGTAGATTTATTGTATTGTCTTTTTGTTTTTTTTTTGGGTGGGGGGGAGTTGTTGTTAGTGCATAGGGGGATTGCATTAAGATAGTCATCAAATTTGAATTGTTTGTGTGTTTCTGGTATATTTCCAGGGATATTTTCGGAAAGGATGCATATTAGAGGCCATGGAACGATATGATGATGTAAGTTCCTAGATCCCTCCGCCAAATTTTGATAAAGCGATGATGCGATTTGTTTTACGCTGCTGAGATTTCTAATATTTGTTTATTACAGGCTTTAGCTTCCTTCCAAATAGCTTTGCAATACAACCCACAAAGTGCAGAAGTATCAAGAAAAATTAAGAGGCTCTCCCAGGTTGCAAAAGATAAAAAGCGAGCTCAAGAAGTGCAAAACTTGCGATCCAATGTGGATATGGCAAAAAGCTTGGAAACATTGAAATCTGAAATGGTGAGTTCCTTGAGCAAAGTGTTATGATTTCCACACAGTATATATGTGTGTCTGTGTGTATTTACTTGTTTGTTATTTTCTTTATTTGTAAGTTTATGTATTGCTTGTCCCTGTTTGCCCTATATTCTATTAGACTAATTCACTCTAACATTTGATCTTTGGTTTGGTTATGGGTTCTGTTTTTGCTTCTCATTAGCCAATGGTTGTCAGCTAAGACTATTCCAGTAAAATTCCCACAACTGGTGTAGAAATTTTTTGTCATTAGTAGGATTCTTTTCAGTATACCTCTTGACAAAAAAATTGGCCTTTCTCTTTGCAGTCTGAAAAGTATGGAGATGAAGATTGTTGGAAAGACATTTTTTCTTTTCTTGTTGAGACAATGGAAACAGCTGTAAAATCATGGCATGAGACTTCAAAAGTAGATCCTAGAGTCTACTTCCTTCTTGATAAGGAGAAGACCCAGGCTGATAAAGATGCTCCAGTTGTCAACATTGACAAGGTATTACACTTACAAAACTATCTAATGTATCTTACAACCAAGTCCAAGAAATAGGAATTAAAAAGCTATCTATTGTATATTACAACCAAATTAAAAGAAAAGTGGTTCCCAACCATATGTAATGAAAATTTGCATTTTTCCTCTTGTGCCAGGCATTTGAATCTCCCCACACACACAGCAGTTGTTTTTCATTTCTTAGGCAATGTGCTGAAGACTCTTTTGCTGGAGCAGCTTGCTTAGTTGCACCCAAAAGTATCATAGCTTATCCGCAGGTAACTTCTTCATATTTGTTCTAAATTGCTATAGAGACTTAGCTTGTAGAAACCCACCGCATGTTTTTGGATACTCTCAAATGCTACTTTAATTTGCAAAATCTGTCTGCCTTCTGCACCTTTTTCCATTTTCTCCAGTGCAGGGAATGTAGTTATGGTATAATAATTTTTTTGAAGGTTGTATGGTAATTTAGATAAAGTAATACATCTAATAAAACGAAAAGGAACAGTAGTTCTTAGTATTATTCATTGCTGTTTATAATCTCTAAAGATTTTGTATGGTAATTTAGATAAAGTAATACATCTAATGAAAATAAAGGGAACAGTAGTTCTTATTATTATTCATTGCTGTTTATAATCTCTAAAGATTATGTCTACTGGTTCTAGCTAAGTTATGGTTCTAGCTAAGTTATGTCTTGTTTTTCACTTTAGGTTTGTCTTCTATTTGTTCTTTGTGGTGTGGATTAGTGCTCCTTGACTTTGAGAAGTTTTAGTCATTTCTTAGTGAGGCAGCTTAGGGCTGATTCACTGTTTATTGATGGGTTAATGAATCCAAACCTTTGATCTACCAACTGATTTTATTACAAATGCTGGAAATTTTTTGAAGAAAATTCTTGTTTCAGTGCTTAATGATATAAATGTCACTTCATTAGAGTTAGATTATCAGCTCTTGGCCCAATGTCTTTGAGCAAGTTCAAACTTGGTGGATGTTCTTTGCTTATTAGGGGGAAAAAGGAGATGGCTAGTTTTGTTCAATTTTACACACTCTTGACAGTGCTGCTCTGATTCAGTACCTAATACAAGTTGAACGGGATCTAATCACATATTTACATCAAGTTTACTTGATGGATTATTCAATGCATGATACAAGACTTAGGGCTACAAGCACCTTTGATTCAGTGTTATGTTTGCAGGTTTGGAAAGGTCAAGGGTCAAGGAAGTGGAGACATGGGCAACATGATGGTTTCTTTGTTCAATTTGAGTCACTGCTCTTGCGAAAACTATGGTTTATTTCAAGTTCAAATGAGATGGGAAAGACATTGTGCAGGTCCCTCCCTTCTCTCTCTCTCTCTCTTTATGGTTGCTCGCAATCTCATTCATAATAAAGGTGTAGATAATCAAATGCAACTTTAGTATCTTAAATTGTTAAAATTAACATAAAAGTTGAAATATGTCTTGTTACTTGTTCCATGAATGCGGTCCCCTGAAATTGCATTGGAGATTTAATTCTCTTAAAATTTCTGTGTATGTTAAAAGAAAATTTTACTTTACCTTTCTAAGTACTGCAGGCGGAAGAGACTGTGTACATTAGCCGGCTTGTAAATTTTCATGCATTTTGCTTCTCTGGCAGCATGTTATTTGAAAATTTGCTCCCTCATGGAGCTTTTACATTGAACAGATAAGCTAGGGTTGGGAAAGAGATGTTTTATGATGGTAGATCAATTTAAAAACTCATGTATTTTCTGCAGATTATAATTCTGTTTATTTCTGGTCAGAAGAAATGGTGGAGAGATTGTTTTGGTTTCCGTTTATATCAGTCTTAATTTTTTGTTTGTTTTGCTGCTTTGAAGGAAAAATCTTTTTAAAAGTCTCAAATGGAAAATCTGTATGCTTGATCTATTCCATTTGATCTTGTTACTTCAACAATATATTAAATATGCTTTGGTGAAAAATTATTGTATAAAATTCATTACTCCTTTACTGAAAGTTTACTTTTGTGTAAATGATTTGAGTCCTAACACCTTTGTATTTCCAGAGATCCGGAGGTTCTGGATATAGGTGCACATGAATTGCTTCCACGCCTATTCAAAGGAAAGCAGTCTAACTCTTCATGAGTTTTGTCTTCTGCTGAAGGAAATAGCTAGGCAAACTGGTGGACTTGACTCAAATGTTCACATGTTCATAAAAGAAACGACAGTGTACTGTGCTTCTTTGTTATTTTGAGCTGGATACAAATTTCTTTTTAGATGTGAAAATTTGCAACTATGTGCTTTTCTAAGTCACATAGAAATCATGTTCTTGATTTTGAAAATTTCTAAAGAAGTTTGTGGGCCTTTTTCAGTCATTGCATTTTATGGTTGAAAATGCTTTCTTGCATATGGTTTTCAAGGGTTTCGGCTCTAGGGTGAGTTCATGCTTGCTTCTAGTTCCATACTTCTGTTATATGTTGGAAGAACAACAAAGGTAGTTGGTGTAGAACATATTAGTTTATATATGTAGGAAATGATCAAGAAGGGCTACTATAGCTTTGACTCATTTCCTACTGATTTATGCAATCCATTTTTTTAGCTTCTTTCCCTCTTGCTACTTACCTTTAATGTTATAAACTATTATTATAGATATGTTAATCAATTTATGCTTGTATGTTATGTTGTCAAGCCTGGTTGTAAACCGGCTGGAACTATGAATGAAGATGATCTAGGAATCTGTATGTTTAATGGACGTTAGGACAATGATAGTTTGTCCAAAATGTTAGATGCATCGGAGTTGAGTGAGAACAGGAACAATGATATGGTATTGTTTTCTAGCACAAGATGAGAATTTACTCGTTTCGGGACTATAATTATATCATTTATTTAAATCATGCTCGTATTTAGGTGTCAAATGTTATTGCTTTGATTCCACTAGTAAACGTTAGTTAAGCAGAGAAGGATCCCTCTAGGATTTTAGTTTTGGTGAGAATTAGTTATCATATTTCGTGTATAATAGTATGACAAAGCTTATATTCATAAGCAAAAAAGGTGGATGGCAGCAGCAATGCTCTGTTCTTAGCAACAAGAAATTTCATTCGTCTAATTGATTATATATTAGACATTGTTGTCTTGTGCATTATAGTCAACTACAACAGGATCCGGCTTGCATGTGTATAGCATGAAATTACATGCTGCAACAGCCTCTCCTACGGTCAGGTGGATCCATTCTTGACCGATTGTGTCGATGAGTTTGGACTTGTGTAGCTTCTTCATCACCTCACTTTGTGGATTAGCTAATACAAGCTGAAATCAATGACAATACACGTCATTCATGCAAACCATTTTAGACGTGAGGAGAACTTGAAAAAATGAAATGCAGCAGAAAACAGTTTATACCTTTAGACCTTTTCTATCAACGTTCTTCCCGACTTCTTCGAACATACTGATCCCACTCGTATCAATGCTACCTACGGCTATAAAATAAACTTGCTTTGAGTGTGGTTTTTTTTTGGTAAATGAGGTCTCAATCTAAGATAAAAAAAAAATGTTGCAGATATTAAAATTAAAATTTTTAGATTTATTAGATACTATTTTTTAAAGGATGATTGCATGAATTAATTGAGTTAACTTTATTTTTTATTTTGCTTATGATTTTGTAACTCATCTTCACTTACCACTCAAATCTAATATGACATAGTGTAAGCTTGTTTCTCCTACAGATTTTAACCTGTCTTCCTCTTCATAAATCCATCTCGAGATCCTGGAAAAAGGGATAGTGGCAAGATGAATTATATAATAATCATCTTTATTAACCTTCAAACTACGTTAGGTAGCTTAGATAAAAGTGTTTCCCTACCTTTCTCTTAGATAGCTTGCATTGGCAAAGTAAACAGGCGCATCTATCTGAAGTATGAGAATCCCTGGTACAGTTTTTGCAATCGGGTATTGATCCATACTTCTATAGATACCAGTGTTTGGAATATTGCCTAGAACAATAGTTCTAGGCCTCGCCACAAATAGAAGAATCCTCAACAAGGAAACAGTTATCTGCAGCGGTAAATAGAAGTTGTATCAATGATTTTATGTACCTTAAATATTTCTGATTGGGGTTTAATTTAACTCTACTTACTGCAATGACTAGACCAATCTCAACACTGCCAAGGACAACACCAAGATAAGCCCCCAAGCAGATGAAGAAGTCGAATTTGTCAATTTTCCAAAGGTGGATAGCAGCTTCATAGTCAAGCAGGCCAAGCATGGCAGATACAATTATAGAGGAAAGCACCACAAGAGGAGTGTAATGGAACAATGGTGTTAGAAATAGCAATGTGAACATCACTGCTGTTGCCATGATAATGTTGGAGACTGCACTTCTGCTTCCGGCATTGTAGTTCACTGCAGTTCTAGAAAATGGTCCTGCAATCACAGCCAATCAAAATTTTGCGCAAATGGGTTCAGGGTTTCCGGCCTTTTTACGGATATTTTAAAGGGCCCTCGCTTAGCCCAACCTAAGCTCAAACAGGGCATGAACCAGTACCTGCGGTCAAGTAACAAGAAGTGCAAGAGCCAGCAATGTTCATCATCCCAAAGGCTATCATTTCTTTGTTCCCATCAATGTGATAGTTCTTGAACATGGCAAAAGTTCTTCCTACTGCAATTCCTTCCTGTATAATATTTATCACAATCAGCCTCTACATTACGGAGCAAATTAAGTAATATTTTTAACCTACCATTTATCATCTTTTTGTAACCCTTAATTATTACCAAAATTAATTGTTATCAATGTATAAGATCACAATATTTAAATAAAAAATAATTATATTTTGTGAATTTAACTTAAAGTGATTAGAATTTAATTTTTGCACCCTCAAATAAAAAAAAGAAAAGAAAAGTAGGAATTGGGATGGGAAATCTCACAGCAAGGCCAATCACGCCAATGATGATTCCTGTTTTTACAGCTGCCATCAAATGGGGGGACCCAAACACCAGCTCTGATGTAGATAGGGGATTCAACCCTTTCTTCAAGTGCCCAATCTGGAGAGAAAACCAATAAAAAATTCCATATATGTTGCTTATCATAAAACCTCATCTTATCAGAATTTTCCTTTCTCAATATATAGTTTTCCGACACAAGATATTTTAAATTTTGCATCACACAAGATAGTTGAAAAACTCTTTTCAGTATTGATGTGATGATGACAAGAGAGATCAATTAGCTTGTCGCCATACCATGCATTAAAAAGCTTGCTAATTAAAATGAGTTTTTTTTTTTTTTTTAATTTCGGTACAAAAGCATAAATATTTTTAACTAGTACTGTAGATGTAAATGGACATCTAACCACCTTTTAGAAAATTACTAGAGAACAACCTTAATAATCCAATCCAACATAAATAAGATATTTGGAATCAATACATAAGTTGATCAGATTCTTGGACTTGAAAAGATTAAAACGTGTAAATATTAATCTAGTTCACTTCCTCTCAAAAAGAATATTAATCTAGTAATATTAAAGAGAGAGAAACCAAAAACAAGAGAGAGAGGGGCTGACCACTTGAACCCCATGCTTTTCAGCATGCGTCAGATAAACGAGAAGGCTTCCCAAAATAACAGATGTGAGCGGTGCCATGGCGTTTATCCAGAAGAAGACTGACTTTCTCTTGCTCTACATGGAATGGATATAATCCAACGTTTTTATATAAATAAACTTTTTTAATATTCCAAAAGGAAAACAACAACTTAATAAAAATGACACAATCATAGTTAAATATATACTATATATTCTTGATATTTTATGCCTATTGATAAAAAATTCGGATTCTAAAAAAAGGACACTACATGAATATTCAACATATACATTTCATTGCTTATTTTATGCCATAGCCTTGCAGTTGAAGAAAGCTCATCATTTTTGAAACATTTATGATTGTATTTCTCGGTGTTGGTGGAAGGTTTGATTTTGTATGCTTTTTTTCAAACCAACCACCAGGCAAATAATTAAGTTTTTATTCTTAATCGTATAAAAGAAGAATGAATTAACTTGTCAATGAATGGAAAGCAAAAGAGGGTAATGATGTACTCACAAAGTATCTTGTCAGGAGAAGGAAGAAAAGGAAACAACAGCCCAGGACAGCACTTTCCCATCTCCACTGCAAGTACAACCACCACAAATCTTAAGTGCGATTTCAATATATATTTACATGAGCACGAACAATTAATGTTAAAAATAAATGTCATCAGGAAATGGTTGAAATGAAACCTGGTGAATTTGGCCGAAAACTGAACTCATAACGGATACAACATCAGTCTCATGAGTGAAATGGACTAAGCCAAGCATCCCTTTAAGTTGCTGTAAACACACAATCGTGGCTGCTCCACCCATAAATCCCACTATGGTTGCATGTGACAGAAAATCCACGATAAACCCAAGCCTTACCAAACAAATTTTAATATAATTAGCTCCATATCTAAACATCAATTAATAAGGAATTGAGTGTTTTTTTTTTTTACAAAAAAATAAAGTTATAAGTAATGGGATTTGGATTCTAGATCTGCTCCATTACATCTTTTAAGGGTGGCTGCAAAACTAATTAAATTAAACTTCAAGTTTAGAATTGAGTATGTTTTGGAAAACCTTAGCTTATTATTCAATTTTTTCATCGATCTTTGTCTGCAACTAATCTTTGGATTAAGGCCTCAATTATTAGTATTAATGACCATTAAAATTTAAGCAACAAGACAAATATTTGTAATTAAACTCATTTAATTAATTACCTTAAGATGCCAAAGGAAGCTTGGAACACTCCAGCAAAGAAAGTAGCAGTGAAGACTAACCGAACATATTGCTCGGGGTTCTCAGTAGGGCTAACCTCCTTTCCAAGCATTGAAGATATTAGAAGTGACCCCACAGCTACAGTCCCCACTGCCAAATCTCTGGAGCTTCCCAACATGGCATATATCAGCGGCGGAACAAAGCTTGAATCTGCATTCCAAGTTCATGGTTTCACATTTTCTACTAGATAAAGTACATGGTTATTCATTAACAAAGAAAAAAAAAGGAAGAAAAAAATGAACTTACAAAGTCCAATAATTGGTGGTATGCTAGCCAAACTTGCATAGCTTATCCCTTGGGGAACAGCAAGACTGGCAATGGTGATACCAGCAATCAAATCAGCCTTGAAGAAGTCGAAAGTATAACGAGGAGCCCATTCCAGGATTGGTACAAAGTATTGTAATCCAAGCAAAAACTTCCAGGAAGTTGGCTGATTCTTAAACTGCTTAAAAGGGTCATCAGGGAAGAAAGTCTCCTTGAGACTTGTTTGTAAAGACTTGAGAAATGGTTTCGAAGGAGGAACCGGCACCCGACGTGGGCACTCATAATCTTCGGTAGTCCCCATTTCGTTAAACTAAGTTGGTATTGCTGCGAATTAGAGCTTGCTTTGGAGATATTAATATAATTAAGACTAGTTAGAGTTTCTGGTTTTTTGTTATGAAGCTGATGAGGGGCAGCCTTTTATAAGGCGGTGGAGGGATATGTAAGTGCTTTAAGGGACCCACAAGTAGACTGACACGTGGCATGGTGCGAAAATTCTTGACCCCCCTTGACCATTCACCTTTTTATTTTGCCTTCCTAACCCTTGAATCATTTTATGATTTGCTTAGGGTAACTTCACTGCCATCTTGGCAGCTTCAACGCGTGGTTGATTCTGATAGGATATTGCAGGTGTCATTTATTGAAAGATCATTTATATATAATTTATAAAAAATTATTTATGTAATTTAAGTAATTAAATTAA